AAAAATTATTGAAATAAAATGAATCTCTAAAATTAATTAATAATAATTATTGAAGAGTAATTATTTTTTTTCGGGGTTTAATTGATTTCATTTTCAGGGTCACGACACGACAGCTGTGGCTTTATTGTTTATAACAATTTTATTAGCAGAAAATCGAGATGTCCAGGTATTTAGATTCACCAGTGAAATTTCTGGGGATTCTTTAAATATTGTTATCGTTCTCTGACGTGTGCGTTATTCCGCACGAAGGCCCGTTGCAGAGAGGAAGTCCGGGAAGTAATGGAGGAAACATCCGGAAAGATGAATATTAAAGATGTGCAGAAGCTTAATTACTTGGACCGCTGCATCAAAGAGGCTCAACGATTGTACCCCAGCGTGCCAATAATTGGTCGAAAAGCAGTTGACGATGTGCAATTGAGTTAATCCATAAATTATAACAATTTATTCTCAATTATTTTGTATTGTTAGTTAAAATTTATTGAGATTCTGATTTTTTTTAGAGACCTGTTTTGTTCCCAAAGGGGCACTGGTTAATATGCAGTTGATTGAGACACATCGCGATCCTAATTACTGGCCTCGTCCCAATGTCTTTGATCCTGACAGATTTTCACCGGAAAATTCCAGAGGTAGACATCCGTTTGCGTACGTCCCCTTCAGTGCTGGACCGAGGAATTGTATTGGTAATGCGATCAATTGAATTCTAGTAAAATTACGGAAGTGAAAGAAATTGAAGAAAATGAAAATGAAAAATTTATTGCAATTGTAATTGTCAAGCTGTAGTGCTATCGTATTGGTAAATAAAAAATTATAATGTTTATTAATCGACGCCATGAATTTTCAGGCCAGAAATTCGCGATGGTGGAAATGAAAATAATAATGGCGGGACTACTCCTGAATTTTCACTTCGAACCGATGGAATTGGCGGCTAATATTCGAATGGTGCCAGATTTCGTCATGAGAACTGCGCATCCAGTGTCTCTCAAATTTGTACCAATTACTAAATAAACAAGATATTTTTCTCAATCATCGATTTGTTTAAAAAATCATGCCACGTCTCCCAAAAAAATCCCCCGAAAAAATCGAAAAATCCAAGGACCCGAGGAGAACATTTTTTCCTCATACAATTTTCTATAAATTATTTCAATTACAATATTCAATTAAACATTCAATTAAACCCTACTCCAATAATAAATAAACCGATTATAAAATAGGTCAACGAAATGAGTGATGAACCGTGAGACAAAATTGAAAAATCGAAGAAAAAAAATAATAAAAATAGATAATCAACTCCTCATTATCGTCTTAATGAATAATGATAATTATATGTCGTCCAGTCATTCTCGATTATAATAGTAATCTCGCGATATGTCGGAAGAAATCAAAACTAGATGGACAGCATTAATTGGTTTCTCATTTCAAACGACCGAACCACCTGCCTATTTAATTTTCATTATCCGTTGTTCATTTCATTCTCATTTCACTTCATGAACTGTTAAAGATATTTCCTCGGACTCGAATCCTCAAGATGATTGATTTGATCCTGGCATTGGTATTGATTCCAGTTGCTATTCTCCTGGGAATACACGTGTGGGTGCACCAGAGTAGAGTAGGCCGATGGGTGGATAAAATTCCAGGACCCAAAGGATTCCCCATCATCGGAAATTTCCAGGACTTAAAAGGGACACGCGGTGACTCTCCAATTATTTACAATTACTATACACTTTCTATACAATTATTATACAATTACTATACAATTACTATACAATTACTATACAATTAAATCTGCATTCACTCCCCCGAAATATCGAAGAAAAATCCTCTTCTTCGCTTTTTGATTAATTTTCATTGAATTATTGTCTCCATTTGTAAATTTCAGACAAAGTCTTTCTTCAACAGAGAAAATTCGGAAATGAATACTATCCCATCTACAAGTACTGGATTTTACATCGGTGTCTGGTGAACATCCGTCATCCGGATGACGTCGAGGTGCGTTAAACAAATAAAATAATAATAATATTTACGAGATTTAATTTATTT